CCCCCGGCGGATAAGCGATGACAACATAATCTATATGATTATGAAAACCCGATACACACTTACTTCGTGTAAGCTGATCCGATGTCTAATACAATGACATTCTTATCACTGCTGTAACTTAAACCTTCAAATAACGGCATCTTAGCGATGAAAATCGGAAACGTACAAGGGAAATTGGAAATGCAGACAGCTTATGTCGCCATTTTGCCCTAGCGGACGATAAAAAAGGGACCTAACTCTTAAAGACACGATTTAAGGATGCATGCCACTATTATATTATCAAGTCCATGTATTCATAATTAACGGATTTATATCTAAATAATTGCAGTTAAATATTCTGTTGCTATTTCCTATCTGATGGTAGTGCCACATGTACATCTGTCACTCACTTACGATTGCCATGTTCCACAACTTAACTTTTGTGCTGTTGTCAGACATTTTATATCTAACACTTGTGTTTTTTTGTTGTCATTCTGTATCTGACATTAGTGTTCCCTATTGCCATCCTCTACAATATCATGAAAGTTCTGTATTAACTCTTATAAGGATTCCTGTCCCACTGTTCTGTGGCCATGGTTTGCAGCCCCCCCCCCCCCTTCACCCGTGACCCCTCCTTAACCTCTGTTTAGATAGAACCGTAGTACAGTTGGGCCAGAAATTTCCGTTGACCAGGTAGCTCAATCGATAAGAACAATCTGAAGCCCAGAGTTTGAATCCCGATCAAGCCCAACCGAATTATTTTTTACTCAGAACACTTGTTTATTTTTGTTTGTTTAATATACATCTTTATTATTTCTTATCAGTGATGATTTATCAAAGCCATACCCAGGTCAGAAAAAACAGCATTTTTTAATTAACAGTGTTTGGCTGTGGTACTGAGCGAGTGATCCTAAAAAATAAACAGCCACTACTCCATGACCTTAATCTGTTACCTTACATAATGTGTACATGTGCATTATGTAAGATTTAGCTTCTTTAATATTAAATATGCCATTTGATTTAGTTATCTTCATAACATATTATATCTGTCATTCTTGTAAGAAATATATGCCTTAAATTATGAATCTGTGTCCAGTGCAAATTAAACAAGAGGCCCAGAGGGCCTGTGTCACTCACCTGGATCTTTATGCCCCGCAATGGTACATATGGCTATGGGATGGGGATCTCAACCATTTCAATTTAATCACCCACAAATTAAGTCCCGACCTAAGGTTGGGGCCTGGAACCCAAGGATCAATTCTTATGTCACAATTATGTTCATATTATTATGGGGTTGGGATCTCAACAGTCTTTTGAGTGTTTCAAAGGTATGACCAAGAAATTAAGTCTCTTGGGGTGGGGCTGGACCCCTGCGTCAATTCTTATATCATAATTGTGTCCGTCGTTTGATGCCCAGCAATGGTATGAATGGTAATGGGGTGGGGATCAGGGTCAATTCTAATATATCACGTTTGTGTTTAACTCTTGATGCTCAGCAATTGTATACACTAGTCTAGATAATGTCCAAGTTAAAAATTTCTTTTAGCCCTTTCCCTCAGACGTCAGTCCTTCAACTGCTAAAATTTGAATCCTCAACCACAGAAAAATGCTACTAACCAAATATGATTGATTTCAAGAGAAGAAGTAAGCTTAAAGCAATATGACAAAATTTCCCCTTTTTGGCTCAGCTGCTTAGCCCCTCCATCTGTACAATTTTGAATCCCCACCACCTAAGGGTGCTTTTATTCAAATTTAGTCAAATTCCAATCTGTGGTTTAGAAGAAGTCATTTGAAGAAATTGTTGACAGATGGAGGATGGATGGACACCACAATATGGCATAAACTCACCTTGGTCCTTTGGACCAGGTGAACTCAAAATTGCATTTTTTTTTCTGGTATACTTATAGATTTCTATTTCAATAATTATACTTTCCTTTCTTTTTGAACCAACAACAGTGTTCCGAGTGAAAAAATGCAATGAGGCCTGACCAGGATTTGAACTTTGGACTCCCTGGTTATTGTGCTGTTGCTCTAACCAACAGCTACTTGGTCAACAGAAGTACCTTGGCACAGCTGCTATACAGTGAGCTATTTGGTCAACAGAAGTTCCTGGGCAACGCTTCTATACAGTGAGCTATTTGGTCAACAGAAGTTCCTTGGCACAGCTGCTTTACAGTGAGCAACTTGGTCAACAGAAGTCCCTGGGCACAGCTGCTGTACAGTGAGCTACTTTGTCAACAGAAGTACCGGGGCACAGCTGCTATGCAGTGAGCTACTTGGATTTGAACTTTGGACCCCCTGGTTATTGTGCAGTTGCTCTAACCAACTGCTACTTGGTCAACAGATGTACCTGGGCACAGCGGCTATACAGTGAGCTATTTGGTCAACAGAAGTCCCTTGGCACAGCTGCTTTACAGTGAGCAACTTGGTCAACAGAAGTTCCTTGGCACAGCTGCTTTACAGTGAGCTACTTTGTCAACAGAAGTACCGGGGCACAGCTGCTATTCAGTGAGTTACTTGGTCAACATAAGTACCTGGGCACAACTGCTATACAGTGAGCTATTTGGTCAACAGAAGTTCCTGGGCACAGCTGCTATTCAGTGAGTTACTTGGTAAACAGAAGTACCTGGTCACAGCTGCTTTACAGTGAGCTACTTGGTTAACAGAAGTGCCTGGGCACAGCTGCTGTACAGTGAGCTACTTTGTCAACAGAAGTACCTGGTCACGGCTGCTATACAGTGAACTACTTGGTCAACAGGAGTGCCTGGGCACAGCTGCTGTACAGTGAGCTACTTTGTCAACAGAAGTACCTGGGGACAGCTGCTATACAGTCAGATACTTGGTCAACAGAAGGACCTTGGCACAGCTGCTTTACAGTGAGCATCTTGGTCAACAGAAGTTCCTGGGCAACGCTTCTATACAGTGAGCTATTTGGTCAACAGAAGTGCCTGGGCACAGCTGCTATACTGTGAGCTACTTGGTCCACAGAAGTACATTGGCACAGCTGCTATACTGTGAGCTACTTGGTCAGCAGAAGTACCTGGGCACAACTGCTATACAGTGAGCTATTTGGTCAACAGAAGTTCCTGGGCAACGCTTCTATACAGTGAGCTACTTGGTGAACAGAAGTACCTGGGCACAACTGCTATACAGTGAGCTATTTGGTCAACAGAAGTTCCTGGGCAACGCTTCTATACAGTGAGCTATTTGGTCAACAGAAGTTCCTGGGCAACGCTTCTATACAGTGAGCTATTTGGTCAACAGAAGTCCCTGGGCACAGCTGCTTTACAGTGAGCATCTTGGTCAACAGAAGTACCTGGGCACACCTGCTATACAGTGGAACACAAAAACTAATGAAGAACATCAAAGTTTTACTTTATACACAAACTATATACGCATTAAACTTGCACCGATTGGTTTGTTTGTTGTTAGATGACATCTTGGAAAGGAATGTTCTTTTTTTTAAGATATATGACAGCCAATCAACTTGCACCAGTCTAGGTTGATATTTGTGTAAGAGTTATCTTTCTTACACAGTATTATACAATTATAGCATGGTGATGAGGTCGATACATGGTTTTATCAACCTAGGTTAGCAATATTAACCGAGGACGCAGCTAGTCCTCGGTCAATATTGATAACCTAGGTCGATGCGTCCTCGGTCAATATTGCTAACCTAGGTTGATAAAATCATGTATCGACCGAAATCACCATGCTACAATAGTTTATTATTTTAATTGATTTTTTCAAAATTGAAGAAAAAAATGTAAAAAGATATAGCCATTTTTGTTGTTGCTAAACTCTTGATCACTACTGCGTTTGTCTTTGATAGGCAGTATCAAGCATCCAAGTGACTTCAGTGTTAATCTTGATCATTACTGTGTTTGTCTCCCATGGGGTGTTAATCAAGCATTTAAATGACTTCACAAAAATTCCAGAATCTATTTATAGCAGGTCAATAACACTTTTTCTACCAACTTTTTTGAACACCTGTTCCAGAATCTATTTATAGGAAGTCAATAACACTTGTTCTACCAACTTTTTTGAACACCTGCAAACCACTCAGGTTTATAACTACTTTTACAGGTGGTCACATAATGTTGTTTCAGCCAATCAGAGTCAGCTCAAAATCAATAAAAATAATAATATACTTTATTATACGACTGGTGCTAATTCCTAGCCCTGATTGGAGGAGCGACGTTATGTGACGAGTCTGTGAATATGTTACAGACCTCGTTCTATGAATAGAAAAGTGTTACAGACCTCGACCTACAAATAGAAAAGTGTTTACAGACCGCTACTAAAAATAGGCCTAGGTAAATTACCATCCAGTCTGTAATTCTGTTACAAATTACACTACAATTCAACTACAAATGAATTATCTCATCAAATTCTGAACTATGTGAATATTGATGATGTCGATTGTGCAAATAATATTTACTTGAAATTAAATATCACATGAATTGAAGTCCTTCACTCTGTGGTTCCAAAATGGTCCATGCCATCCATGTGTTTGTGACTTGTAAAAATATTTATAGTGATAGACCTCACCTGAAGTCCATAATTGTAAAGTATTTGTCCGAGAGTGGTCTCCTGTACACATCATTATACCCGTCACTTTTCCCTAGTAGATAAGCATTGTGAGCCATTTATGAGTACAAACACTTATATAGATTAAGCTGTATAATCCAGTACATATATAATTCACACATGGTGTTCATTTGGTTTTAAGTCAAATAAATCAATATGTATAGCTCAGTGCACATGTACCAATCCACTAGTAACACAGCTTTGCATTCATTAGGTTTTATTCAGTCATATACATCAAGTAAAAGGAAGATAACAATACATAAGTCAGGTCAAAACCCAAAATGATAAAGCAATATGTTTACCAATTCAATTCACAATAACCAAGGTTTACACATGAAACATTCTCCTACAAACCCAGGTAGACAACACTTGTGCCTGGTTATCATGGGAAACCAATGTTTTCTGTAAACCCACAAACATAAACCGAGGCATATATGGTTCAGCCCAATTATAAGTAATGGTATTGGTTCTAACTCCAACATGGACCTTTAACGAACCCAGCCTGTTATTACCTGGTTTCAGTCTAGGTTTTTATAACATAAAAACTGTTTGTTTGCATTAAATATTGCCCATTCAACCTTATATTTGACAAAGTATTAACTCTTATCCCATCCTCTTTTC